TTAAAAAAAAAGAGACCTGGTGAAGGGCAGAAAAAGGAGATTTCTTTTTTATATATAAATTTTAGTATTTTTTCTTTACAAGTCACCGATGTTACTCTGTTGACAGTAGAATTTTTTTTTGTTGTTGGTCCTGGGGCCTGAACTCTGGGCCTGGGCGCTGTCCCTCAGCTCTTCAGCTCAAGGCTAGTGCTCTACCACCTGAGCCACAGCGCCACTTCTGGCTTTGAGAAAGGAGATATCTTATGTGGCAGCCATGGGAAGACAGAGCTTCAGTACATCTTTAGCCATATTCAGGGGTGCAGACATTGGCTTTAGATTTAAGTAGGGAGAATTGGAGACAGACAATGAGAAAGGTCTGCAGAGTTCAAACAAGTCACAAGTATGACCTGGTTGACCATTAGCTCAACCTTTGACTCCCCAGGCTTTTACAAGCAGTCTGTTCTCTTTAAGATGATAAGAGGAAGATACTGTCTGATGAGGGGCAGTTTGCCTTCTATCACAGGATGCTGATCTGCGAATCCTGTGTTTCCTGGAGCCCAAGCTGATTGTGAAGTGACTGCAGGAGAGAGTGGCTCAGATCCAAGAGCACAGAATCAAAGTGTGAGGACACTGAGTGTTGAGTGTTTTGTTAATTCACAGGCTCCACAAAAGCAGCTTTCCAGTTGCCTCTTACATTGCCAGGAAGAACAAGCCAGTGTGAAACCCCATGAAGGTGTTTTTCACATATATATAATTACCATTTACAACTTGGCTTCCTGGTGGGCTCTGCAGTTATAAGACACATTTACACCTGTGAGTGTGGTCATTGCTGGGGTGTTCATGTTAGAATTTGTGTGCCCACACCTGACGTACATAGTTGTCAACTTTCTGCCGCTGTGACAACATACCTGAAATAACAAAGGAAGAAAGGTTTACTTTAGCTAGTGGATTAGAAGGACACAGCCAAGGTCACTTGGTCTGGTTAAATCAAGGACTGAGAGGAGGCAATGCTTCATGGTGGAGACACATGGCTGAGCAAAGCAGCAGGGAAAGGGAGAGGGATCAAGGACAAAATATGAGCATCAAGGGCACACCCCAGTGTCCTATGTATCCCGAATGCCCCACAATCCTCCCCCCCTAAAGTTTCTACCACCTCCCTATGGGTGATAGATTTATAAAATGGCTCCATTTCATCAGGTCAGAGTCCTCATGACCCAATCATCCCTCGAAGGCTCTATCTAGCAGTGAGATGTCACTCAGTAGTAGACACTTGCCTAGGGAAAAAAAATGATTAATTAAAAGAAAAGGAGAGGAGGAAACTAGAAAGACACCAGCTCAGAATATTGGCACACTGGAATCAACCCCTTCAACACATGAGCTCGTTTGGGACAGCTGAGATTACAGCCTAGCCCGGGGTACAGCTGAGGACAACCATTAGGGAGTCGGGGGTACAAAGTGATGGGCCTCACATGTGGCAGCTGACGGTGTCCCATCATGGCGATTCTGATTCCCATAGTACCTTGGGCTTCCGCTCAAATGCTTCTTCCCATGATGCCCTGGGCAGCCACCCATGGGACCAATGAAAAGAGCTCCAGGCAGCACATATACACACCATCAAGCAATCAGCGCAGAGCCAAAGGAAGAATACATAGGAGGGCTGCTAATTACGTTCCTGCAGTCCCCTCTCTGGATAAGAAGGTTTTGCTTTCATGGCTTTACTTTTACTTCAAAATAAACTTACTCTTGTCTATCTTAAGCACTTACCTGCCTTTTTATTAGTTAAGGGTAGAATCCTTTTCCCTAGATGCCCATAGCCAATCATGTATTCATTCAGCGAGCCTGTGTGCACAGAGCACATGTTTGATTCTAAGTAGAGTCATGCACCTTATAATGGAATTTTGGTCATCAATGGGGTGCACATGTCGAGACTTTGATGTTTTATACTCTAGAAATCAGATGACTTTTTAGCCATCGTGTTACTGAAGGCTGTTTTATTTTTTAAAACAAAAGTCATCTCGAAACTAATTCATGTAACCTACCAAAGCCATAGTATAAGAACACTCTTGGGCCCCTAATCTGGTTCTCAAACTGAATTTTTCTTTCTGGTGGTGGTGGTGATGTTGATGGTTGTGGGGCTTGAACTCAGGGCCTGGGCGCTGTCCCTGAGATTTTTTTCTGCTCAAAGCTAGCACTCTACCACTTTGAGCCATGAGCCACAACACCATTTCCAGTTTTCTAGTGGTTAATTGGTGATAAGATTCTCATAGACTTTCCTGCCTGCGGCTGGCTTTGAACCCTTATCCTCAGATCTCAGCCTCCTGAGTAGCTAGGGTTATAGGTGTGAGCCACTGGCACCCAGTGTCTATTGTTGCATTCTTATTTGTGGAAAGATATTTTGTGTTTCCAGGAAGAGTACACATTCTAGACTCTGGTGGTGGTGGTGTTTTAAAAATGATTTGTACTACTAGGGTTTGAATTTGTGCTAGCTAAGCAGGTGCTCTGCTATAAGCCATACCCTCTACTCTCCTGTGATACAATTTTTTAGTATAACGGGAGTTAACAAGAAGGAAAAATTGAAAGGAGACAGGGGGAGGGAGAAGGAAGGGGATAAAGGAAGGAAAGAAGGGAGGGAGGGAGAAGGGAGAAGGGAGAGAGGGAAGAAGAAGGATGAGAGAAGACAGAAAGAGAAGAAAGGAAGAGAAAAGAAAGGAAGAAAAGCTGGCTGCATCTGGCTCAGTCTCTGGGGGCTGGCAGCTTTGTCCTCATGCCTCTCAAGCCCTTTTTTTGGGGGGGGTCCAATCATGGGGCCTGAACTCTGGGCCTGGGTGCTGTCCCTCAGCTCTTCAGCTCAAGGCTAGCACTCTACCACTGGAGCCACAGTGCCACTTCCGGCTTTTTTCTTTATGCTTATGTGGTACTGAGGAATCAAACCCAGGGCTTCATGCATGCAAGGCAAGCGCTCTACCACTGAGCCACCTTCCCAGCCCTCTCAAGCCCTTTTCATCTCTTGATCTTAGCATTAAACCCAGTGGGAGCCCAGCAGATATTTGCTGATACCATCCAGGACTTGCCCAGTATCAGTTTGCTTGAGCTTCCATGACTGACTTTGATGGAGTGGATGGCTTAACCACTGGCAATTTATTTCTTCATGGTTCTGGAGCTGGACATCCAAGATCAAGGTTTTGGCAGGGCCGGTTTCTC